GGGAGATTGGGGGTACTGGGGTTATATGGGGTGGTCGTCCTATTACAGGTGGGGTGGGTGTACCCGGTGGTTATATATAAAGATATGGGGGAGATTGGGGGTACTGGGGTTATATGGGGTGGTCGTCTTATTACAGGTGGGCTGGGTGTACCCGGTGGTTATATATAAAGATATGGGGGAGATTGGGGGTACTGGGGTTATATGGGGTGGTCGTCTTATTACAGGTGGACTGGGTGTACCCGGTGGTTATATATAAAGATATGGGGTAGACAGGGGGTACTTGGGGTTATATAGGGTGGTCGTCCTATTACAGGTGGGGTGGGAGTACCCGGTGGTTATACATGAATATATAGAGCAGGCAGGGGGTACTGGGGGTACATGAACCTGACTGACATGGGGTGGTCGTCCTATTACAGGTGGACTGGGTGTACCCGGTGGTTATACATGAATATATAGGGCAGATAGGGGGTACATATGTGTTACGTGTTATGTTTCCCAGCACAAAATGTAATACGTGAGTACCCCTTAAATTAAGGCTTTAATTGGGGGTACAAGGATCTTAGCCGAAGTGTCATTGATTACAGTACGGGTTGTTTTATTGTATCATACCACCCCTCTATGTTTGTCTCTTGGTTATTCCCCCACTTTGACTACCCCTTATTTTACCTGCTTTGTGGGGGTACTAAGTGTCATTAGGGGCCGCGGACTGCGTTACTTAAAGCAAGGGCCTAAGTGTCAAGGTGTGAAAATGAACACTTTGTTGTTTAGCTTTGGTGTTGCGAGTATGGCCTATGATCTGTACAAGAGTTACAACAATTCAGGAGTTTCATTGCTTGGAGTGAAGAAGAGGGTGAGAGAGGAGATCATTGAGACTACTAACAACAGTGGTGTTGTTACTACGATCAAGAACAGTCAAGTTATAACTCAGACTACGAAGCAAGATCGAGTTCGGGAACTTGAGGAGGAGTTAAGGAAGTTGACCGATGCAGCACGCAGCGATGCCACCGCCCGCACGACGTCGAACGTATCGGCTGATGCAGGGAATGAGGAAGTTGTTGGGAATGGAGATGATTCTGTACGAAGGCAATCCAAACGACGTAAATTGTGATATTGTTATTGTAACTTTGTTGTATTGCGGAGTAAACAAGTGTTATTCAAATGCACTTTGACTCAATTTGCACTCCTTGCATCTATACCGTATTTTCCCGTGCGAGCAGATGCTTTTCCCCCCGCATTCCTTGCATCTCGACCGCTGCCGCCCGTGCTCGCATATGCTTTTTCCCCCGCACTCCTTGCATCTCGATCGCTCCCGCCCGTGCTCGCATATGCTCCCTCCCTTGCAATCCTTGCATCTCGATCGGACCCGCCCGTGCTCGCATATGCCCCCCCCACCGCACTCCTTGCAACTCCATCGCTGACGTCCGTGCTCGCATATGCTCCCTCCCTTGCAATCCTTGCACACCGATCGGATCCGCCCGTGCTCGCATATGCACCCTCCTCCGCACTCCTTGCATTTCGATCGCTGCCGCCCATGCTCGCATATGCTTTTCCCCCCGCACTCCTTGCATCTCGATCGCTCCCGCCCGTGCTCGCATATGCTTTTCCCCCCGCACTCCTTGCATCTCGATCGCTCCCGCCTGTGCTCGCATATGCTCCCTCCCTTGCAATCCTTGCACACCGAACGGACCCGCCCATGCTCGCATATGCACCCCCCTCCGCACTCCTTGCATTTCGATCGCTGCCGCCCATGCTCGCATATGCTCCCCCCTCCGCACTCCTTGCATTTCGATCGCTGCCGCCTGTGCTCGCATATGCTTTTCCCCCCGCACTCCTTGCATCTCGACCGCTGCCGCCCGTGCTCACACTTTGATGCTGTATAGTGTACGCTGATCTTCCTCCTCTTCCATTGTATCTCATCCACAGAGGCAAACTCCTCAATGTCGGCTGGAAACTCATCGGACAAGCACTCCGATCCCCCACACCTCTGCTCCCACTTTGATGCTGTATTCCTGTCAGTGCTGATCTTCCTCCTCTTCCGTTGTATCGCATCCACAGAGGCAAACTCCTCAATGTCGGCTGGAAACTCATCGGACAAGCACAAGAGATCCTCAGCCGCCAACATGCCTCCCATAGACCCTTCCCAGTGCTGCAGTGCGATACTGCGCTTTTTTATTTATTGGAAAAAACCAAACCGTAGCAAACTTTTTAAAAAAAAGGCTCAAGAACTGCAAAAACAAATAAAATCCACACTCTCACAAAACAATAATACATTGTCTTTATTGACTGAAAAGAAAAGGCAGTCCGGAGCAAACCGTAAAGGAGGGGGAGTCACTTTCAGTTCGATCATTTTCCCATGAAAATGCATCATCGATTAAAGTTTGTAACTACTTTTATCCCCATGCAATACTGCAATAGAGTGCGTCCATTTCCTCCACATATATTCCCACCATCCCGTATCACAGTATCCGTCGTATTGACCAAGACTTCCGCCATGCATGTATGTGATGGCGGAGATGAGCTCATCAGAAGCAATCTCTACGTTTGCATCATGCAGTCTATCTATCATGCGTTGCCACTTGTCTAGCTTCGATACTGTCCTTAGAAACTCACCTCTTATTATGCATCCACCGGCACAACCGTAATAAGTATGCTGCATCCTTCTTTGAGTCTCTTCTTGTATGGCTTGTACAAAACACTTCTTGATCACAGTGAGCAGGAATTTGGGGGGTAGAATGGTAGGAAACCAGGGTGATAGTAGGGTGGGTACTGGCGGGAACCTCAAGGGGTGGAGAGGTAGGGTAGTCCCTGAAGATAGGGCAGTCCTTCAGGTTGGTGACCAATGTTGTCCTTCACGACAGAGACTGGAGCAAGAGAATACAAGATATCCATACAGAACAAACAATACGAACAAAGAAAGTCGAAGGTGGCATAGAACTGTATCAAGCAGTGTAGAAGCAAGGCAACGAACCAAAGCATCAAACGATGATAGCATATCCTAGACTGTTCAAGCATCTGAATAAGGAAATGATGAAATGGATAGATCAGGTTACAAGGAAAGTCGGTTTTTCCTCCTTACATCAAGCGGTCTTGTTTAGGATATAGATTGGCGAAGTTTGGTGCGAGGAGGAAAATCCAAACATATCTACGAGAACAGCATTGAAGCTTGTCTTTTGATGTCTAAATGCTCGCTGTGTTTTCAAGTCATGACATGCGACTGAGACTTACAAAGACAAGGCTGTAGCAGATTCCATGGTAGCTGGAAAGAAAACTCTTTACGATTGGCTTGAGGTACGTGAACTCTGTTTCGCAATATGTCTTGACAGTTGGTAGATTCCTCAAAGTGCGTCGGAGAACGACATCAAGAAGGCGTACAGGAAGCTCGCAGTCAAGCATCATCCTGACAAGGGAGGAGATGAAGCGGGTGAGCTCTGCGGCGTTTGGACTGAGGTCGCTGACTCGTATGGCAGTCTTCAAAGAGATCACGAAAGCGTATGAGGTCCTCTCAGACGCGCAAAAGAGGAAGATCTACGATCAATATGGCGAAGAGGGTCTAGAGGTGTGAGGGAGCTGGTCGAGGAAAGACTTGACAGTCAGCACAGAACGGAGGAGCCCCTACGCACAGTGCAGAAGACATCTTCAGTATGTTCTTTGGTGGTGGTGGTGAGCCTTTCTTGAGGAAAATTGCTTTTTGTTGAGTGGTGGATATCTACTAGGCCGAAGACGGAATCAGGGGCCGAAGAAGGTGAGGAGGAGCATTGAGTGTTGTGCGGTGCTCATGCGGCTGGCAGGGAGAGGATGTGGTCCATCAGATCAATGTGACGCTGGAAGACCTGTACAACGGGAAGACGAGAAAACTTGCCATCACTCGCAAAGTAACCCCGGCCGCCTTAGTTCCTATTCTCATTGTGCCATGCAGGTTCCCGTTGATCCCGATGCTGAGCCAAAAGTTTGTTCAGCCTGTGACGGTCATGGCGTCAAGATGCTCACCAGACAGATAGGCCCCGGTATGATCCAGCAGATGCAGGTATGTGCGATTTCCAGCTGTGTGAGGAGATGATATTTGGACGAGGTTGCTTGCCAAGATTGTGGTGGACAAGGATACGACGTGAAATTGAAAACTGAACGACAAGTGAGTTTCTTTGTAGTGCAATACCCTGGCAGAGTGTTGAAGTTGTTGCAGGTACTGGAATGCTGCATCGAGAAGGGTATGAAGCATGGACAAAAGATCGTGTTGCGTGGAGAAGCAGATCAGGTTGACTTGGTGTTGGGATTGTTTCAGAGACGGCTGATTACACATGGTAGTTGCCAGGAACAATTCCAGGGGATGTTGTTTTCGTGCTGGCACAGGAGAAGCACTCCACGTGAGCTCTGCTGTCTCACGACCAACTTGTCCTCATCCGACTTCCCATCCTGCTTTCCAGGTTTCTGCGCAAGAATGATGACCTGCTGATCACCAGCCAGAAGATCACGCTGATCGAGGCTCTCACTGGTGCCTGGTTTGATATGACTGAGTGCATCCCCTGAATCTCCACTCAGGCGCTCAGATTGTCATCAATCATCTTGATGGCAGAAAACTTGTCTGCAAGACTGCTCCCGGAGAAATTGTCAAGCCAGGTCTAACTTGACACAAGAAGAACCATAGGAGTGATCATGAACTGCCAGGACAAATCAAGTGTATCGACGATGAAGGGATGCCGATGCATAAGAACCCATTTGTCAAGGTATGTTGACAGTGGGTCGCTCTTGAGCTAACAGAAGATTCACTTGGGCTGCAGGGGAAACTCTACATCCGCTTCGAAATAGTCTTCCCTTCCAACAATTCCATCTCTCCTTCGCAGAAGGCTGTTCTTGAGAAGGTGTCTCAGTTCGCCATCGCCTTTCTGGCCTCACAGCTGTCACGCAGGTCCTACCGTCTGCTCCAACTCCAATGTCCCTTGGAGATGCCGAAGAGGTCCATGACAAACGGTGAAGCCGGTAGTCAACCACTGACTTCACTGCTGTTCCTGCAGGTCACGATGCAAGATGCTGACGAGGCGTCGATGGGCGGAGATGCGGTCAGTCACGTCAGTCTCTCAAATCTTCGCACGAGTGAGTTGAGTCTGCAGGGAGGACACGCGAGAGCAGCGACTGATGAAGATGGAGACGAGGAAATGCGAGGAGGGCAGAGAGTACAATGTGCACAACAATAGCGTGTACCGTAACGCTGATAGGCTACGCACAAAACTGAAAATAGGCAACAAGTAGGAGCATCATGTGTAAAGTTAGGATCTCGATCAGTCAATTTCGGACTGGTACAACAGAGGCATCATCGATACTCTGAGAATGAATCATGTTCGCTAGACTCTGAGACTTTCAACCTTCAGTGTCGCCGTGTGGCGGATCGCCGTGAAGTTACGGACCCGGCGGCCTGGCCGAGCCGCTGAGTCAGCCGCTGTGCCGGTCACAAGGGCGTAGGCCGCCCGGCCGGCCGCGTGTCACGGCCTACGTACCTCAGTGCGGGGGTGGCCGGCCGCCCTCCGAGGCCCCAGTACGGTACTGAGGCGGGGCGGGCCCTGGCATCCGACGGGTACGGCGGGCCCGGCACTGCATACCGGCGTCTCACCGTCCATACGGGAGGAGTCGGTCACTGAGTGACTTTACTCCGAAAGTGAAATGACTTGTACTGCTGTAAACACTATCCAAAACCAGGTGACTGAGGCGGGTCCGTATGATCGTTACACTCGCATCAAACGGAAATCTCAGGCACACAAAGCGAGCATACTCTCCCCAATATTGGGAGCATACTCTCCCCTCAAATTTCAAATATTCACGACATAATTGAAAAATAAATGCTACGTTTGAAATAGATTTCTGACGCCTTCATAGGTACGATCTGGTTCCCTAATATATTGTTTGGGTAGGGTGTTCTTGTTTGTGGGGTAGGGTCTCTTTGATCACCGGTACTCAGTTGAAGATACCGATGGTACTCATGGAGGTAGGGTCAGGGAAGCAGGGGCAGTGGTACTTGTGAGTGAACTCCGAGATGAGGGGGGGGGTAGCATGATGGAGTGTGTTTTTACACGTGCAGAGCAACAAGAAAAAAAAACAAGAAGAAAAAAAGAAATAAGGGACGAGAAGTAAATCAAGGAACATTAGCTTTAGTCAATATCAAAAACTGGTACTATTGTTCCTTAATGTGACGTTAAAATGATCTACAGCTAAGGGAGACGTTATTCGGCCCTACAGAATTGTCCGATTTGCTCTCTAGTTTTTTTTCATACTTCAATCCCCTTAAAAAAAAAAACAACCCCAAGCAATTAGGGAGCAACGGGTACTCTTCCACCCCTTCATTTGCTATTTGGGGACCCCACCCCTAAGTATCACCCACCCTCTTAGGTATCAGTGCATCAACTACCCCACCCCTCTCTCCCCCTCTCCACCCCCTTCCTTCCGATCTCCCTCACATCCTATTTTTGACACCCTACCCAATCTCAAGTACTACCCTACCCCCACAAACTGAAAATCCTGGTGATCGAAGACAACCCCCTCATGAGTCTCATATATTCTTTTATAAGTACCCGTGGTATTACTACCCACCCTCGGTCATGTTAAGATTACCCACCCCTCACACTCTCATCTTTACACTGAGCTACCCCACCCTTCCTATGTACCCAACCCCCAAAAGACCTCCTCCAACTAATAGTGAATAGTCTCTGTAATAGCACTGAAGCTGGTTATTATCGAGATATTTGTACCATTTATATGTTAATAGACCTCTATATACTTATAAATAGAACATAATTCTTTTAATAGCACTTCCTTGGCCTCCTCGCCCGCACGCGGCCTCTCCCCCCCTCCCCCTGTCGCTGCTCCTCCGGCTTGCCTTGGCTCCCCAGCCTCTCGCCCTCACCTAGACTACCTGCTTCCTCTTCGCCTGCTGTGGGAGTCCTTGGTATCCACGGGTACAAGAGATGCGGAGGTCGGTTCTCCTCCTCGTGCTTCCAGCACTGTGCTCGGCCTTCACGCCAGCATTTCATCCAAAGCTCACCAGCTCCAGGGCAGCAAAGGGTCGCGTAGGGTCTTTGGCTCCAAAGCTTCGTAGCCCACAGACCGTCAATCGCCATATCACCAGCAATATTTTCTGCAGCGGGAACTCAGTTCAGTATGCGCCATTCCAGTACCTCGAGGAACGAGATGCGTGTGGTGTAGGATTTGTAGCTACCCGAAAGAATGAGCCTTCCCATGACGTCGTTCGCAAGGTTTTCTTAGCTCCTCCCGATTTACTTCTCGTTCTCCCTCCTCTCTTATCTTGCCTCTCTCTCTCTCTCTCTCTCTCTCTCTCTCTCTCTCTCTCTCTCTCTCTCTCTCTCTCTCTCTCTCTCTCTCTCTCTCTCTCTCTCTCGCTCTCGCTCTCGCTCTCTCTCTATCTCTATCTCTATCTCCCTTCTTCTAAGAACCTGGCCAGGCAAGTGTGGCCTTGGGATGCATGGAGCATAGAGGTGCATGCGGAGCAGACTATGACAGGTTTACCGCTGCTTGCTTGTCTCGTAGCTGCTCAGTGATCAGTCGCTTGTAGTGGTGACGGTGCCGGCATGATGACCGCCATTCCCTGGGAGCTGTTTGAAGACTGGGTCAAGGGAGACGACACGAAGAAGTCGGGGGTCGGTATGATGTTCCTGCCCCAGGTGAGCTGCCCCTCTTGTTTGCCCTACAGCATTCCATGACGAGCTTGACTTGCAGGACCCGAGCAAGCGCGAGACCGCAAAGAAGGCCGTTGAAGCTGTAGCCACCAAGAACGGCAAATTCCAAGTGTTGGGGTGGAGAACTGTGCCAGTCAAGCCGGAAGTGCTGGGCTCACAGGCCTCTGCAAACAGACCTCATGTGAGGGTTTGCAGTGCTGCAAGAAAGAGGGAGTGACGTCATCTCAGATCGAGCAAATCATCTTGAAGTCATCCGAGGGTCTTACAGGAGACGTTCTCGAGCAAGCGCTCTACCTCGTGATGCGAAGCATCCAGACGGCGGTGGGTGATACATGACGAGAATGTGCGATATGACTGTCAGCGCTGCAGGTCAAGGAGAAAGGACTCGACTGGTTCGATGACATGATCTACGCCTGCTCCTTCTCATCCAGGACTATTGTGAGAGGATCTGACGAGGCAACTTACCCATCTGATGTAGCTGTGCAGGTCTACAAGGGCATGGTTCGATCTGTCGTCCTCGACCAGTTCTACTCAGATCTGACGGATCCTCGCTACAAGAGTCAGTTTGCCATCTACCATCGTCGCTTCAGCACCAACACGATGCCTCGATGGCCTCTGGCTCAGCCCTTCCGGTCTCTCGGGCACAACGGGGAGATCAACACTCTCCTCGGCAACATCAACTGGATGCGTGCACGTGAGGCCGTGATGGACCAGGGAGTCGCGTTCGAGAAAGGCTCGGACATCTCTAAGCTCGACCCTCTTTCCACCGCTAAGAACTCTGACTCGGCCAACTTGGACGAGGCTGTCACTCTCGCCATCCGCGCAGGCAAGACGCCGATGGAGGCGCTGATGATCATGGTGCCTGAGGCCTACAAGAACCAGCCGGCGCTCGACAAGATGCCTGAGATCACAGACTTCTACGACTACTACAGTGGCCTGCAAGAAGCCTGGGACGGACCCGCACTTCTTGTCTTCTCCGATGGCAAGAAGCTTGGCGCTTGCTTGGATCGCAATGGACTCCGTCCTGCCCGTTTCCTCACCACAACCGATGGGCTCGTGTGCATGATGTCGGAGACTGGAGTCGTTCCCGGCATCGACGAGAGCAAGATTGACAAGAAGGGACGCCTGGGCCCCGGACAAATGATCGCCTTCGATCTTGAGAGCGGCGAGTTCTTCGAGAACTACGAAATCAAGTCCAAGATTGCTAAGCAGGCGCCTTACGGCAAGTGGCTCAAGGAGAAGCAGACCAAGGTTGAGAAGCAGCCGATGAAGGCAGACAGGCTCTTCAAGAACGAGATCGACCTCATCCGACAGCAGGTCGTCTTCGGCTGGGCATCGGAGGACATGGAGATGCAGATCGCCGACATGGCCTCCACTGGCAAGGAGACCACCTTCTGCATGGGTGATGATGCTCCTCTTGCTGTCCTTTCGGAGAAGCCGCACACGCTGTACAACTACTTCAAGCAGAGGTTCGCGCAAGTGACGAACCCTCCCATCGACCCGCTGCGAGAGAACCTCGTCATGTCTCTTGACATGTACCTCGGACGGAAGGGCAACTGCATCGAGCCCGCCTCTGACCACAACGCCGAGCAGATCAAGATCGAGTCGCCGGTGATCAACGAGAAGGAGCTTGACATGATCAAGGGGGCCAAGAAGTCGGTGACTCTCTCCACCCTCTACGATATCTCCAAGGGACCCCAGGGCCTCGAGGAGCAGGTCAACGCTCTCAAGAAGCAGGCAGAGGAAGCCGTCAAGTCCGGAGCTGAGATCCTCGTGCTGTCTGACTACACCCCAGCTGGAATCTCAGCTGAGCAAACTTACATCCCCCCCCTCATGGCTGTTGGAGCAGTCCACCACCACCTTCTCTCCCAGAAGCTCAGGCTTCAGGCCTCCATCGTCGTTGAAACTGCTCAGGCCTGGAGTACGCATCACTTCGCCTGCTTGGTAGGTTACGGTGCCAGCGCTGTGCTGCCCTACGCGGCTTACGAGGGCGTTCGATCCTGGCACGCGTCAACCAAGACGCAGTCGCTGATGGAGACAGGACGCATCCCCAAGATCTCAGTGGAGGACGCGCTGGTGAACTATCGCGAGTCAGTGGATGCCGGCCTGTACAAGATCATGTCGAAGATCGGGATCTCGCTCCTGTCCTCCTACAACGCCGCACAGATCTTCGAGGCGATCGGTCTGGGCAAGGACGTGATCGACCTGGCCTTCAAGGGCAGCGTCTCGAGGGTTGGCGGCATGAGTGTCGGCGACGTGGCTAACGAGATCGCATCGCTTCACGCGACTGGCTTCCCGGAGACTCCATTGAAGCAGCTCGAGAACTACGGGTTCGTCAAGTACTACACTGGACGCGAGTACCACCACAACGCTCCTCCTCTGACCAAGCTGCTCCATAAGGCGATCCGAGAGAAGAGCGTCGCCGACTATGAGCTCTTCCAGCAGTCCCTCAAGAACGCTCCGCTTGCCGTCCTCCGTGATCTGCTAGACATCAAGTCTGACCGCAAGCCCATTGCTCTAGATGAGGTCGAGCCCGTGGAGGAGATCATGCGCAAGTTTAACACGGGCGGCATGTCGCTGGGAGCTCTCTCGCGCGAGGCCCATGAGACTCTCTCGGTGGCGATGAACCGCATCGGCGGCAAGTCGAACTCTGGCGAAGGAGGAGAGGACGAGCTTCGCTTCAAGCCCATCGCCGACGTGGACGAGTCCGGTCACTCGCCCAGCTTTCCGCACCTGCGTGGCCTCAAGAACGGGGACGAGATCACGTCGAAGATCAAGCAAGTCGCGTCCGGGCGGTTCGGGGTGACTCCCGAGTACTTGATGACGGCGTCGCAGATCGAGATCAAGATCGCGCAGGGAGCGAAGCCTGGTGAGGGCGGGCAGCTGCCGGGCAACAAGATCGACAAGTACATCGCGACGCTGAGGTTGTCCAAGCCCGGAGTGACTCTGATCTCTCCTCCCCCCCACCACGACATCTACTCCATCGAGGATCTTGCTCAGCTGATCTACGACCTGCACATGATCAACCCCAAGGCCAAGGTCAGCGTTAAGCTCGTCGCCTGCTCTGGCATCGGCACCGTCGCGTCGGGAGTGGCGAAGGCGAATGCTGACGTCATCCACATCTCCGGGCACGACGGCGGCACCGGCGCGTCGCCACTCTCGTCCATCAAGCACGCGGGGCTGCCATGGGAGTTGGGGCTGACAGAGGTACACAAGACTCTTTACGAGAACGGCCTGCGCGATCGCGTGCTGCTGCGAGTGGACGGAGGGATGAAGACAGGATGGGACGTTGTGCTCGGAGCTCTGATGGGAGCGGAGGAGTACGGTTTCGGAACGATCGCCATGATCGCCGAGGGTTGCATCATGGCTCGCATCTGCCACACCAACAACTGCCCGGTGGGCGTCACGACGCAGAAGGAGGCGCTGCGGAAGAAATTCCCTGGGACCCCCGAGGCTGTCGTGAACTACTTTGAGTTCGTCGCGCAGGAGGTGCGGCAGGTGATGGCTCACCTCGGCTACAAGAGTCTCGCCGACCTCGTTGGACGCGCCGACCTGCTGACGAAGCGCGAGGAGGCAGCGCCGACCAAGACCAAGAACCTCGACCTCAGCTTCCTGCTCAGCTCGCCCAATACCAAGGACGATAGGACGTGGGTACACGACGAGAGGACGCAGGGCGTCAACGACAACGGTCCTGTGCTGGACGACGAGATCCTGGCTGACAAGGAGGTGATGGCTGCGATCGATGGGGCGAAGGAGCTCAAGAAGGAGCTCAAGATCGTCAACACCGATCGGTCCACGGGCGCTCGTGTCGCAGGTCAGATCGCCAAGAGGTGGGGGAACTTGGGGTACGAGAGGGAGGGAGGGAACCTTCACCTCGTGTTCAAGGGCTCGGCCGGTCAGAGCTTCGGCGCCTTCACGCTGCCAGGCATGACGATGGAGGTTGTGGGTGAGGTCAACGACTACGTGGGCAAGGGCATCCATGGCGGTGACATTGTCGTCCGACCCCCAGCGGAGGCCCAGTTCTTGGCCGAGGAGAACGTGATCGTCGGGAACACGGCTCTGTACGGGGCCACAGGTGGGCGTCTGTTCGCCAACGGCAAGGCGGGCGAGCGATTTGCCGTGAGGAACTCGCGTTGTCATGCTGTCTGCGAGGGGACGGGCGATCATGCGCTGGAGTACATGACTGGAGGTGTCGTGGTAGTTCTGGGTGAGACGGGACGCAATGTGGCGGCAGGGATGACAGGAGGGCTCGCGTACCTTCTGGAGGAGGAGGATGGGAGTGTGGAGAAGCGACTCAACGCTGAGATCGTGAAGAAGCAGCGAGTTCACACCAAGGCGGGCGAGGAGCAGCTCAAGGGGCTCATCGAGGCTCATGTTCGCGCTACCGGCTCCGTGAAAGGCAAGCGCATCCTTGACAACTGGAGCTCCTTCCTCCCCAAGTTCTGGCAGCTCGTTCCTCCCTCTGAGGCCAAGACGCCCGAGGCGTCTGATCAGGTGCTGGAGGACGTGGCGAAGGAGGCTGCCAAGGTCTGAATGGCCAGAGCTCCTTTGCTTGACATGCGTTGGTGATGATGATTATGATGAGTTGGCTTGTTTGATAGCGAAATGAAAGTAAAACCACAAAATCGTCCAGTGCTGACGTGACTTCGTTGCTCGTTACATTCCATCCATGAGACCGCGGCCTCTCTCAAGAGTCAGTCCAGCAGAATTGCGGCGGCGGACGCACGCCCTCCATGTTGCAGCGTCTGAGAAAATTCGCAAACATGATCGAGCTGCATATGCTAGGTTTAGCTTGTTCCTGCTTTGTTCTGCTTGAGGCACTTTTTACCTTCTGCCAGTAAATCCACTACCCCTATGAGTACTCCTCCTCGAGCGTTCATCCCTCTTGCCATCTCGACGGACGGTACCCTGCATCCTGACACCCTCCGCTTCATCTGGTATCTCGCGGACATCATTGCTCAGCGCTCGATGCCTCTTGAGGATGCGGCGTTTGGTCGGCACTTCGTGCCTGATGACGGACCTGCTGCTGAGGTCTTGGCTCGCAAACGCGCCGCCACCTATCAGCGCCTCACCATGCAGCTGACGCTGGAGGCGCTCTTGTCTGGTGCGAGGCGCATGACGCCCTTGCGGGCGCAAGCACTTCTCGAGCCAGAGGACAGCTCCTCCTCGGACTTTGTCGAAGTCGCCCGAGGAGGAGTCTTCGCCGGAGGTCTCCGACTCCGATGGGGGACACCCTTCGGGTGGCCCCGACGATCGGCGCGGAGCTGGCGAGGCGTCTCCGTCCCTCACTGTGACGTCGGGTGCCTCCGGAGAGCTCGACACCACTGGGGTGCTTGCTGCTGGTCCGAGCTCGCGGTCCTTGGGCATTGCTGCGGCGTCGCCGCCGTCACGGGCGGCTCCCGCTGACTCGGCTTCCGCTGACTCGGAGGCTAGCGAGGAGGACTACCTCGAGCGGTACCGTGTTCCTGTGTCCAGCCGCTCCCTCCGTCCGCTGCCCCAGGCGGACCCCCGGGCAACGCCGGCTCCTTGTCGGCGGCTGCCCTTTCTTCGTCCGCGGCCGCCCGCTTTGTGGCGGCAGCGGACGTCTCGACTGACAGTGGTCAGTCGGCTGCCTCCGGGTATCGCGTCTAAGGGATTTTATTCCTCCTGCATGCTCCTGCTGCTTGTTGCTTGACCCTTAGGCTGCTTGTCTGCTTGTCTGCGCGGCTTCGCGCTTGGGCTGGCGATGCCGCGTCTGGGTGCCAGCAGTGCTGGTTCTTTTCGGGCTTGTGTTTTGTGTGTGTTTGTGCAGCTTCTCGCTGTGGACTGTGTGCCTGCCGGTTCAGCTTGTTCCTGCTTTGTTTTGCTTGAGGCACTTTTTACCTTCTGCCAGTAAATCCTATACACAGCGAGGAGGACTACCTCGAGCGGTACCGTGTTCCTGTGTCCAGCCTCCCTCCGTCCGCTGCCCCTGGCGGACCCCCGGGCAGCGCCGGCTCCTTGTCGGCGGCTGCCCTTTCTCCGTCCGCGGCCGCCCGCTTTGTGGCGGCAGCGGACGGGCTGCCTCCGGGTATCGCGTCTAAGGGATTTTATTCCTCCTGCATGCTCCTGCTGCTTGTTGCTTGACCCTTAGGCTGCTTGTCTGCGCGGCTTCGCGCTTGGGCTGGCGATGCCGCGTCTGGGCGGCGCGGAGCTGGCGAGGCGTCTCCGTCCCTCACTGTGACGTCGTTTGTGCAGCTTCTCGCTGTGGCGTAAAAAGTGCCTCAAGCAAAACAAAGCAGGATCAAGCTGAACCGGCAGGCACACAGTCCACAGCGAGAAGCGGCACAAACACACACAAAACACAAGCCCGAAAACAACCAGCACTGCTGGCACCCAGACGCGGCATCGCCAGCCCAAGCGCGAAGCCGCGCAGACAAGCAGCCTAAGGGTCAAGCAATCAAGCAACAAGCAGCAGGAGCATGCAGGAGGAATAAAATCCCTTAGACGCGATACCCGGAGGCAGCCGACTGACCACTGTCAGTCGAGACGTCCGCTGCCGCCACAAAGCGGGCGGCCGCGGACGGAGAAAGGGCAGCCGCCGACAAGGAGCCGGCGTTGCCCGGGGGTCCGCCTGGGGCAGCGGACGGAGGGAGGCTGGACACAGGAACACGGTACCGCTCGAGGTAGTCCTCCTCGCTAGCCTCCGAGTCAGCGGTAGCCGAGTCAGCGGGACTCCCCGGCGGCCGCCCGTGACGGCGGCGACGCCGCGGCAATGCCCAAGGACCGCGAGCTCGGACCAGCAGCAAGCACCCCAGTGGTGTCGAGCTCTCCGGAGGCACCCGACGTCACACGGTGAGGGACGAAGACGCCTCCGAGTCGCCAGCTCCGCGCCGATCGTCGGCACCACTCGACGTGTTTCCCCATCGGAGTCGGAGACCTCCGGCGAAGACTCCTCGGGCGACTCGACAAAGTCCGAGGAGGAGCTGTCCTCTGGCTCGAGAAGTGCTTGCGCCCGCAAGGGCGTCATGCGCCTCGCACCAGACAAGAGCGCCTCCAGCGTCAGCTGCATGGTGAGGCGCTGATAGGTGGCGGCGCGTTTGCGAGCCAAGACCTCAGCAGCAGGGCCGTCATCAGGCACGAAGTGCCGACCAAACGCCGCATCCTCAAGAGGCATTGAGCGCTGAGCAATGATGTCCGCGAGATACCAGATGAAGCGGAGGGTGTCAGGATGCAGGGTACTGTCCGTCGAGATGGCAAGAGGGATGAACGCTCGAGGAGGAGTAGTCATAGCATATGCAGCGCGATGTTTGCGAATTTTCTCAGACGCTGCAACATGGAGGGCGTCGAGGTTGACCTCCCCCCACTTGGTCAGGTCGGCAGAGCTACCAATGTAAGGGTGGACCAACGTCACGTCCGCCATCAAGCCCTCGTACTGCTCGGACCCTCGATCGCGGATTCCAGGGATGTGGATATCGCCCTTCATCTTGCGGCCATGAGGATGGGAGGGTACCTGCCGTCGAGAACGAGGATCCCCCACTGTATCGATGACGCTCTGAAGACCAGCTTCGTTCAGCATCGACCGAATCGTACGAGTAAGGTTGTCTTGCGCCGTGGGAAGCTTGGAGGATCGGCGTTTGCAGGTCTGGAGATGATGTGCAGCAACGGAGGGATCGAGCTCGCGCTGACATCCATCACATTTCGTCGGACACTGGCAGATCGGCATGCCATGGAGATAGCAGTCGAGCATCTGAGCATAGCGGTGCGGGAAGGCCTTGAGGGGGTAGTAGCTCGAGACTCGCATCGGAGAGTGGCTCAGGTCTCGCTCAGGAAAATGAGCGAAGATGGTAGACTGCAAGACCCTATCCTGCGACTTGAGCGAGTGTGTCCTGCGGCTGTGCAAGGTGAGGATATCACGCTGCTGATCGGTCAGCGCAGCGCGAGCATGCACATGGCGAGGGAAGACGCGCATGACAAGAGGGGTCACATTTCGCTGCGCAGGGGGAGGAATGAAGTCACTCATGAGACGAGTCGACGAGAGCGCGCAAACCAGGGGTGTGTACCACAGATGCCGGGGGGCGTCCTGCGTCATCAGGCACAGCAGCCGGGGCAGTGGGATCGCCGCGCCATCTGCAGCCGGTGCAGGAACCTTGACACGACGGTAGAGGATCGCTCCAGCATTATGAACGAAGTCGTGCGCCTCAACGAAGAAGGTCGCCAGAGGATGCTTCTGGGCACGGAGAGATCTCGAGCAGTTGTTGCCGAATCCTCCACCCTTGGTCATCGGTCCCCGCAAAGGAGCTGTAGCGCTTGATCGCCTGGATCAGGCTAGTGGTGTCGAGGATGTCAGTCAAATCCACCTGCAGTACTGCAAGCGCTTGCTGGGTGAGATGATCCGCGGAAGCACTTCCAAAGGCAGGCGACGCACCATCAGGAAACTTCTCTTGTGCTTCAGCAAGAAGATCAGCAAAAGATTCAGCCTTGTAGATGCCGGAGCGTCGGGTGCCTCCGGAGAGCTCGACACCACTGGGGTGCTTGCTGCTGGTCCGAGCTCGCCTGCTTCCTCCCCGGCATCGGTCGGGTCACGCCGGTCCTTGGGCATTGCCGCGGCGTCGCCGCCGTCACGGGCGGCTACCACTGACTCGGCTACCGCTGACTCTTCGCCGGAGGTCTCCGACTCCGATGGGGGACACCCTTCGAGTGGCCCCGACGATCGGCGCGGAGCTGGCGACTCGGAGGCGTCTCCGTCCCTCACTGTGACGTCGGGTGCCTCCGGAGAGCTCGACACCACTGGGGTGCTTGCTGCTGGTCCGAGCTCGCCTGCTTCCTCCCCGGCATCGGTCGGGTCACGCCGGTCCTTGGGCATTGCTGCGGCGTCGCCGCCGTCACGGGCGGCTACCACTGACTAGATATATAGGATTTACTGGCAGAAGATAAAAAGTGCCTCAAGCAAAACAAAGCAGGAACAAGCTGAACCGGCAGGTACACAGTCCACAGCGAGAAGCTGCTGACTCGGCTACCGCTGACTCGGAGGCTAGCGAGGAGGACTACCTCGAGCGGT